ACTGCGGTCTAAAGACCCATGAAGATTAGACAAATTAGCCCACTGATGTATAAAAAAACAATGCATACAGCAACGATGTCACTGGTCTATCTGTTGTATTCTTTCTTCTGTAACAGACAGACGTACTGTATGTCAAGTCATTTTATGTTGAGAGCAAGAGATCCTGCTGCACGGTACAGGATGAATATGACACACTAATTTCCTCTTTCCTTCCTTCTTTCTTCTGCATTTCTTCCCTTTGTATCTTGTTTTTTCCTGTTTCTTACTTTTCTTCTTTCTTTCCTTTACATATTTCTTTCATTTACATCTTCATCTGATCTTTATCTGAATCGAGGGTCCAAAGATACAGGGTTGTGTGCTGTAGAGATTGTAAAGGCTCTTTAGGCAAAATTGTGATTTGTGACATTGGGCTATATACTGTAAATAAAATTGACTTGAATTTTTCTTTGGGAAAGGATTTGTTCTCCCACCTCTGAGGAGAAACTTTCTGAACTGGATGCATTGTTGTTGTTGGAGACAGAACTGAACTGTATGAAAGCCATTTGTGTTTACAGTCATTCTGATTTTGTGTGTATTTGACTCTCCTCAGTGTCTCTGTGAGTCTTTAAATGTTAAAAACGGCACAATGTTGGTGTAAAAACTCAACAAACTTGTGACAACTTCCCTCAGCAGTGACAGCGATGGCTCGGATGTTTTGATCTGTGTGTATTATCCGTCCGGCCCTCTGCCCCATGCTGCGACATTCAAACAGAGCTGCGTGTCATTAGCCTGGGAGATCTTTGGCTGCCACATGAAAGCTGCCTGATCAGCGGCAGCAGCTCCCCGGGGGGGCGGCTACTTGCATCCCTGCGCCGGAAGACGTGCAAAGGCCTGCGACCGCCGCCACGGCTTCTCTTGTTTCACCAAATAGGAGCAGACTTACAAATGACCTGGGTTGGTCTCAACGGAGAGGGGGCGTCTTATCAACAACGGAGTCCCTGTGCCGCTCACACGGCTCATTACTCAGACAGATAATACAGACAGTTAGACAAAAGGCGACAGGGAGGAGAAGTCACTAATGAGCGAAAGAGCAGATACTAAACAGAGGAATTACAAGCCTCCTCACCAGCTTTTCTGCTCCTTGTCGGTCACTCAGAGTCTCTATGGTCTACTGGTTCAGGGGGAGATTCACCTGAGCAGAACAGGAAGAACAATAAAAACAGATCTCACTAAGTACGTCTCAGTCCCTTTAGTTTAAAAAGTTGGACACTGCCAGAAGATATTCGACCTTCTGACAAGCAGTTCTGATGAAGTTGAATAAAACATGAATAAACACAGCCTCCTCATTCATTTCAATGAAACCATTTCATTGACAAAGTGTGGTGCTGATGTAGAGGCTCCAGCTTAAAAAAAGGCACCATCGTCTGTAAAATGTTTAAACTTGGCTCAATCTTTGCTACAAAGCAATGCAACATCATCTGGCAACACACATTACAGTCAGTCACATTACAGTTCTGTCTCACAAATATTCACTCAGTCTCCCTTTAACTTCAACTCTTCGCCAACTCACATGACAGTATTTATTTTTGTTTCACTTTTACTTGCGTAGTGCTCGGTCAACAAATAGAAACCGTGTTTGTGTTTGGAAATGGAGAAATTATTTTTCTAGCGAGTACATTTACCTTGCTTAGTACAATATTACATCACCTGACTTTACCTGTGGGCTACTGTTGGTCTGTCTCTCCACCAATTTTAATTCAACAGGCCATGATATGATTTAGTGTCCATCCTGAAAGACATCGAAGAGAACAGAACGGTCATATCCTCCATAAAAGTCTTTTCAGACTGAACACAAAGCTGTTTTCTGAGGCTTAATGGTTCCATTCTCCTCTGAATTGCCTGTGTATGTATGCACTGTAATGCATGTATTGTGGTTGATAAAGGCGATATGTGGAGGTACAGACAACACAGAGTCACGTGTAATTTAACAAAAGTACGTTGGCGATGAAACATCTCCACTATGACCTCCGTTGCTGGAAAGAGGAGCTGATGCACCGAAACAACTCAAAGAAGTCGGAGGTATAAATAATCAGTCACTAGTTTAGCTTTATTCAGCCACGTCCTCGTCAATTAATGTGTTTTAGTGTGTTCAATCAATACTTACTCAGCATTCTTAAAAATCAAGGTCTGTACCTTCTTTTTCCACATTGTGTGAGATTCGAACTGTTTTAATGAAGTTAAAACTAAGACATAAAATATGACTAAAGGTCTCTATAACAAGGACATTTAACCTGAAGGAACAGAAATCAATAACTTTGTCCATGACAAAAACATACAAACAGGGACGTGTTGAGCTACAGTGTGAACGCAGCCACAGCGGTCTTGAACACTAAAGCTGTGCAGAGATTAAAGTAAGCTCTTTGTTGAGCAAGAGTCTCCCAGTAAAATGTAATTGGTGCCTCACAGCAGGATGCCAACTGCAAACGTCGCAATGAAACATTAATAAACAACAAACATTACAACCAACTTGTTATTCACAGATATTTCAAACAAGGATAACACATTTATTCCTGTGGAAATGTAAGAAGTGCACATAAGCATTGGAAAAACAACACGGTGGATGTTTAATCATTTCTGCCACACGAGGATACCATTTACAGAGAGACAAAAAGAGGGGAATTGAGTACGGTCTTTAAATCAAAAGCTATATTTCAAATCCCGAACATCCGCTTTGGGCTGCTGCGCCGCCTTTCAATTTGTCGGGAACGACAACTGAGCTGCTTTAGTTGGATGCGTAAAACTGCCTCCCAGGGGGCACTGGGGCAGACCACCAACGCTTTTCGGCCACCATGCTGCGTCAACACAGCAAAACAAAAGCACAAAGCTGCAGCGGGGACGCTTTGTTGCTCTGCTTTAATGTGGCGGCAGGCCGGCTGCCCCGCTGACGCGCGGCCTTGTCCTCCTGGAAGCAACACAAACTGCACAGACCTGCAAGGGTATCGCTGAGCTGTGGGAGAAACTTTCAGAGATGTTCATCCTAACTGGGACCATCCTGGTGGTTTTTGAATTTTCTATTAATTGACAACAAATCACACGTTCTTTATTTTTCTTAGTATTTTACAAATCATCCTTTAGTTATAGACTGATTTATGTTCTTTCAGGCACTGACTGGTTTAAGTTTAACTGGTTTAACTGGTTAAACTTTATGCACATAGATTCCATTTAGCAAGATTTACTCTTTTATTATGATTATTATTATTATGTTGTTGAGGTTGCCTTATGCGGATTTCTATCACATCATCACATTTGTAAACAGAAGTGTTAGAATTATACAAAAATATTGAAAAAAGTCCAACTATCACAAAAAAAGCTTATCTGAGGCGTAAAAGTCGGTGAAGTGCCAAAAACATCCGATATGTGTTGAGCGTCGAAGAGACCGTAACATTCCTCACATTAATACATGAAACAAACTTAAATGTCGTATTGTCGTATGTTTTCTTGTTTCCATCATAATTTTTTTTTTTCATCTTGTTGCGATAAAAATTTGCGTTACATTTCTATAGGAACTTGACTACTGTCGCACGGGAATGTGGTTGCATACAGGTAATGTTTTTAAAATTCTCCTGAGTGGTATGTTTGTTTTGGAGGAGGAGGGTCCAATATTCAAGATTTGAGAAATACTTTGATACAAGAAACTTCCAAATTCTGTTTTCACATGAAACCTTCTAAAAATGTAGCTCAGATCTCAGATCTATGTTTCTACAGTAAACCAAACACTGGCTCTAGAAAGGGCCATTTTGCAACCACCATAGTTTCTCCTTAATGCTTGGAAGGTGAGGGTTAAACAACTGCTAAATGCCACTGAATCCTACACGCTGGGTCTAATTTAATTCTAAATTCACAGCGTTCTGTAATGAACAGATTGAGTCAAAATAAACTACAGTGTGTGTGTTTGTGGTAATGAAGGAACACGTCAACCAGACTGGAATCAATCAGCCCGAGGTCCAATTAGACTCCATGAACTGGATTCCATCAAAAGGCTGTTACCACACCCCTCTCCCCTCCTTCCGACCCGCCTGCCACACGGCAGCAGAGGCCTTCCTTTCTTCGCGGCGGTGGCCATGACTGAGCTGAGCTCATGGCTAATCCTTAGGGGGGGTCAGAGGCTCTGAAAGGCCGCAGCTCAGTTTAACATCTATTAGCAGAAAGCTGGGACCCCTGCAGAGGCGCTCCTATTGGCTGCTGAGGCTCAGGACAACGGTGCGTGTATGTATGTATGTGTGTTTGGAAGCTGCATCCCCTGACAATGTTCTTAAAGCTGGAGAGATGCTATATGCTTTTACTAATATTCTATGTTGTGTTACATTACACTACACATTTTAATTGATGCCATACCATCCTTCTGCTGGTGTGTTATTCCAAAAAGCCAGTAGTATGGAAAATGTCTGACCAAGTTTTGATGCCTAAACCTAACCAAAGTGGCAGTTTCACAACCTTAACCAAATGTTTACTATTGATACCATGACGATGGAAGATCCCCTGACTTCGTCCTTTCCTGCATGTCCAAATACATAAATATATTATTTATATATTATATATTACCATTTTTTCAGACTATTAAGATTTTGGAGTAATGGGGGGTTGGAAAAATAGGCAGTCTCAAATTGCGCAACCTCTCAGACAACACATAGATCAATTAAACGATCACAGCATGGTGCTCACATTGAACATAAACGTTGAGACCCCAATAAATTCTATCTATTGGGAACTGACAAACTGACAAAAAGAGAGAGGCAGCATTACTTTGTGCGATTATACAATGAATTTAAGCCAGAGGAGACGCAGACAATATGGTCTGTTCTGCAGGTCAGATTTTCTATCAGTCTCAGTCCAGACTCAACATACAAAGAACACTACTGTTTATGATGGATGTTTTCACAGTCGCCATGTGGTAAATCAGATCACAGAGCTGCTCCAACTCCAAACAGAATGATCAAAAATCAAAAACACATTACAGGAAGAAGCTTGCGATGGGTTTATCTAGCAGGTATCACCAAAAACATTTTACAAAACACGTATTTTTGACAGTTATGCAATAGCCGGTGTCATCAGCTGCCATAGTCAGTCAGCCAGTTGGTCTGTTCTATTATTTGTTTGTCCATAAGTCTACAATAATACAATAATATAAAATCATTGTGACATTAAAGTAGATACAGTAGCAGTGACAGTATTGTATTTTTACTCCTTCATCTGTCACATCCTTCAGTTATCTTTACTCTGTGATCGCGGTTTAACCACAAGCTCAGGAAAGCCCGTCCCATCGTCCATCTCTCTGGTGAACTGCAGGTCGACCGCCTCGCCGACGACCACCTCGGCAGTGGTGAACACCTCCAGATCTCCCATCACGTGACCACCGACTGTCTTGCCCTCAAAGTCTGACAGGCAGATGTGGAGGTGGGCGTCGGGGTTCAGCGTACCGACCAGGGAGACAATCTCGAACCGCCCGCTGAGGTGGATCATCTGAGGGAACATGACAAGCTTACATGGAGGACAATGTAAAATCACATGGATCTTCCGTTTTGGTTTTCACCACCCAAAGTGTCCACTGCTCTGAAAATACACTCTTTGGTATCACCATCTTACATACGTAACTTAACTGACATAACTAACAACATTTGAACAAAAAACTGGATATTTTCCTAAAACCAACAGACCTTTGGAGCAGTGGGGTTCTGTTTTTCGGGATAATGGGCTGTCAGACAAATAGACTTTCAGTCCAATTGGAGATTATTCAGACTATTGGGGTTTTGGAATAATGGGCCACCAGAACAACACCAATCTCCATTTATATATTGTATAGAGACAAGCTGAGAAAACCAGTTGAAAGTATGACTGTGGGTTTCACACAGTATCTCATTTTTGTCTGTAGATGAATAACATTGGCACAAGTTGGGACATATAAGTAAACTGTATTATGATTTTATTTTTGTCAGTCTTCTTCCTTATTTGTGTATATGAATAGTAAAACAACCTTTTATCAACCTTGAACTCTTCTATATATATCACATTTTGAGCGATTTGTACATTTTTATTGGCGCCTGTGTCATTTTTCTTGTATTTTGGCTTCCTGCTTTAGCTTTATACTTGAAAGAAATTAATAAGACTTCATATCAGGCCTTCACGCTGCTGCCAGTGACTACCTCATTCGTATTTGTTGCCGTGGCGTTGGCCAGCCGGAGCGTGGCCTTGGTGACGCTGCCGACGCAGGTGATGATGAACGGCGCTCGGAGTCGCCTCTCCGCCACAAACGCCTGCAGAGATCCCAACAGCTCCTGACCCGGGCCGAACCGGACAGCATGGACCTTAAGGGAGGATCCTCCTCCTGCTGAACTCTGGGAGAAAAAGATGGTTTCACTTCTTTATTTGAGTATTTTTTCCTTCAAGATGCAAATACGTCGACTGGTTTTCAGAAGTTTTTACGCCTCAACAGTAATTTGAGAGCTTTCTTGGAAAACTTGGAACATTTTGACCAAAAATATGTTGACAAAGAGTGTCTGAACACACCATCAGTTTTGTTCTCTGTAAGGCTTTGAGTCGGGCATCTTTTCATCAGATACTGCAGTTATTGAGTAAATAAAGCCTTATTTACACATTTCCCTCCCTGCCAGAAATATGATGGCACACCTCATTAAATGAGTGCTTTTAGACTCTACTGGAGTGCAATGTCCCGGAAGTCCTGCACACTGATGACACTGACATGTTTTTGACGAAAACAATGTGTGTATGTTTGTGCATGTATCAGAGAGTGCGCTCTGAAGTCCTTAACAAGGCTCTAATTCATACACTGATGCAAGGTGCAAGTCTGCTCATCGGGAGCGGTAAAATTCCATGGTGTGTTTTGTGACATTGACCAACAGGAGCACAGAGCGCTCTTCAACTCTGTCAGTATCAAACACACGCTTTGGATGTCATTGTTTGTTTATATTCTCCTTCCTAACGACACGCAGGTCGTGAAAGATGGCCATATATGATTGGTCAGTCTGTCATGTCATTTATGACTCTATAACCACCTAATCTGACACAGTAACCATCTTAACAAACACAAAGGTCTTGTAGTCTGAAGCGGGCATTAAGAGGTTTTTGTGGTGCTATAACAAAGTCACGCTTGGTTCTGAGACCAGAATCATAATTCACATGGTCAGTAAAGGTTTGTGTCAACTAAATGTTGATCAGCTGGAGAACCACAAAGTGTCTCTGTGTAAAACGGGCTCTAAATGTATTGAAAAAAAACTTTTGTTCAGTGGATGTGTGCGTGTGTGTGTGTGTGTGTGTGTGTGTGTGTGTGGTCCATTCAGATCTTTAACAGGATCACTGTGCTTAACCAAACACCAGCCTGACCTCTGACCCTGCGGGGGGAGAGGAGGGCGATATCAGTGAAGCTCACACTGATCCGTAAGTTTAAAAAGAGTTTATAGAAAACAGGCAGAGAGGTGGAGCAAACATCACATTACTCTACATGTTGACGAGCCAATGTGTGAACTAACAATCATCTTTAGCTTTAATAATCATCATATTTGATCATTTAAAAGGTCCTACTTGATTTTTTTGGTACATGATTCTTATAAAGGTGAAGAACATAATTATATTGTAATTTTATTGATGGCCTGCATTAAATGGTTACTGAACAAGGTTTGATTTCTTCCTTTATAACTCTTCTTACACTCATTTGTCAGAGTTTAGTTTTAGAGTTTTAAGGATCTGCTTCAGTTCTGTGAGTCTGAAAAGGCCTTTAAAACATGAAGTAGTAAATTATGTTTAGTTGGATATTTCCCTCTTGCCTTTGCTGCAGTTTGCGTCTCTCCAAACACTATAGAGAGAACTTCATGAAAGTAAGGGTGGTGTAAAGATGAGACTCATAGAGTGAAGGTCTGTAAGTCAAACAAACCTGCAGAGTGCATTTACACAAATGGATGTCTAACATGTGCTTTGGATTGAGTTGAGTGCAAAGTTAGAAAGGTTTTCAAAAGATCAGAACTGAGAACTCACCATTCTGCACAAGTCTGAAGCTCCTGACTAAACTCTGACCACAAACACTTCTGTTAAACATTTACAGTCACGCATGCAGGATCTTTAGCAGTTTGGAAGGATCTGAGCATGCTCACTAAACAGCAAAGACTTCCTGAGCAGGTTTTAGTTTTTTTTAGTTTTTTTTTTCATGGTCTTTTGCTGCCACCTGCTGGTGGTTTTAGATTGTTGAAGCGTCTCAAAGTTTGGGCACTAAGTTATGTGTGTACAGTTGTTATGTTACATATTCAAATATTTCACATAACTATAAACATTTATTCAATTATATTGATTTTATTTTTCAAATACTTTTCTTTTTTCAGAAGTGGAGGAAAAAGCTTATCATGATGTTGGTTATTGTGATTTTAATAACAATGATTGCAATGTTCTCTACTGCCTTATCTCTGATTCATGTTTAAAGACACTACAGGTGAATAAGGTGAACATTTTAACTAATAGATATCACCATGAAAGTTCCACCGTTGATTTTAAATATGCAATTAATGGATTCTTTAATTAAATATGCACTTATTTGCATGCATGTTTTAACTGGACAATATATATATATTTCAAACACTATTCACTCATGTTTTTGGTATATTTTGTCTCACAATGATCTAAATTCTGTTTCAAAAGCAGGAAAATAATTCTGTAGTTGAGAGATATGATGTCCTTTTAATTCAATTGTATTCATTTGTTGACAAGATTATTAAAATTCTGAAATAAACAACAAAAATAACAATTTAAATATGAGTCTAAACCCCATCAGAATGAACCTTGAGTGTAATTTGTATGTAAGTCCGCATTAAATTAACAATCTTACCTCTGTCACTTCATGGATTTAACTTTAATGGTTCCAAACAAGCTTTGTTTTTTTAACCCTAGGTGGCGCTGTGGTTTGGAAAATGGATCGACTTGCAAAAGACTGTCATCACATCACATCACTGTTTCCAACATTGCTGCAGCACAGCAGGTTATTTAGACACCTTTAACCTTCTCGACATGTGGTTTGTTATAGACTGAAGACTGAAATTTAATCACAAGTATTTTACAGGAATCAAAACAACAACCCAGAATACTTTCATCAGATCAGTGGTAAGGTGAGGTAACAGTCCACCTACTGATTGTATTTGCTTTGCTGTGCCTAAACCTAACCAAACCTTAACTATAGTGCTGTAATATCAGAAAACAGTTGCTGAATCTCAACTAGTGAGCTGTTGAAATGTTCCAAATACTATGTGTAGGTGGGCTATCCAAATAAAGTGCTGCTTAAAGGTCCAGAGTGTAACATTTAGGAGGATCTATTATCAGAAATGCAATGTAATACTCACAGGTTTGTTCTGGTCCTTTAAAGTGAAATCAAGCAGCGATGTTTGGGGTCCAGGCAGCATGTGGATGCTTGTTGTTTTTTTTTATGAAGCACTTGAAAACCACACCACATGCACGAATTGCCACACTGTTGGCAAGCAGGACTTTCCACCTGGGGATTTTAACCCTCAACCTTTGTATTCCCAGAGTGGGTGACTTAAAGGACCAGTGTGTAGGATTAAGTGGTACCAAGTGGTGAAGTTGCAACTAAAAGACACTGCTTGCGTATTTGACAACTTGAGGCATCTGTAGATAAAAATGTCTCATTCTAAGGTCACAAAAACACAGTGAGTCCTATATTCAGGTGATTACACACTAATGCAAACATACCTGTAAAGATCATATTCCATTTTTACCAATAGATTGTCCTTAATGTTACACCCTGTACCTTTAAGATCCGAACTAACGTACTAAAGTCACCCTCAATCGTATGCTAGCCCCCTGAACTGGCACTCAGTCATCAAAACTTTGAGAAGTGAATAAATAAAAGCACATTTACCTGCTGTATGTGTGTGGGAATATAATAAAAATGTACATCAATATGCTGTGCATCAAACTGCCCATGCATGTTAGCGCATATAATTTAAATTCTGCACAATAAAAATCTAGAAAAATGTCACTACTACAGTATAAAGACTTGAATTTGATCCAAACCTTTACAAACAAAACACCGTTAGTGTGAATTTTCATTAAAAAAGTCTTTATTGATTTCATTCAAACACCAGAGTTGTTGTGATCAAATTGCTAACAGGTGAACCGTGGATTATCCAAAGGGGGGTTTATGAGGCAGAATGCAAATCACGCTGCCACTCAGATAAATCCCAGATCTGCTGATGTATTTTGTCAGTATTTTTCCGTGTAATAATGAGCAGATTAAATCAGGGTTGTGGTGGTGTCGGGGCTCCTGGGAGCCAACGAGGCCACGCTCTGGCGATTATTTCGAGTAGAGGCGCTCGCATGTATTCCCCCTGCGAAGCCCTGATTACTATCAGGTTACAGCGTCCATGACAACAGCCTGCAGCTTAAAGCAACAGGACTTTATTGAGTAGAAACAGGAGTTTATTTCAGCGATGGTGTTCTCTACAGAACAGAGGTTTTGTTTAAAGATAATATTTTAATCAGTGGTGGAAAGTAACTGTACACACTGTTACACACTGTGATACTGCCTGTGTGTGTAAAATGTGCTACCTCTGTTGCAGATAGATAATGGTTGATGAGCTGTTATGAATGGTGGTTTTGGAGGTCTGTTTTGTACTGAACAGAATAAAACAGTTCAATCCAGCGACGCACTGAACGCACTACTGAACTGAAGATGTCAGAAGCAATGGCCTAACATCACAGCTCGATGAACAGTGCCATGTTTGAGTAATGTGTATTTGAATGTTGATGCTGTTGCTAAGAAATTATTCGAATGAACAGAGTCCACCTGTATTTGACATGCAGATTAAACACAGACTTGGCCTCTGAGGCGGTCACATTGTCCATAATGACCACTACAAGCTCCGTTTGGGACTGTCTTGGCATGGGCATGGGAAGCAGTCTCAGGTGCATCCCATAGAAAAGCTTAGTGAAGCTGGTGTGTGCTGTTCTCTGTCAGAGGTGGGTAACTAAACCCTGGCAAAACCAACCTCTTAATCCTCATCCTTGAAGCTTTTTGTCCTGTAAATGCAAAACATAACTGAGTGCGGGTGGGTGATCATTTGTAACTTTGGGAAAATAGCCCTGTACGGTGATGTAGGGTCTAACAAATGCATTGAATGGATTTCCTTTCTCATAAAATATTTGAAAAGCAGATTTCTTTAAAAAGTTTGAAACCTGCATTTTTTATATCCTTGTTAACTTCCTCGCAGTCGTCTTTTTGCATTGCTATTCCGTTTCTTAAAGCCTCCGTACATCAGTGGAATAATGTCAATTGTTACCAACAAAAACAATGCTCCATAAAGCTACCAGTGGTCAAAAATGCTCCTGGGTACTTTGACACCCCCTGACTTTATTTTATTTTTTCTTGTAGTTTAACTTCCCACCTTGCTGCAGTGATGTCGAAGTGTACTCCAAGACCAAGTGACATCACTGTTGGGTGTGGTTATGATTACAACAGAGCACATTTCTGACCCGACAAAAGTGGAACTTGAGATCATAAAAATATGCGTTCATTCTTTATCTACATATCCCATTGTGAGACAATCTTTCTTCTTAAAGGTTGGGGCAATCATTCTGGAGAAAGATAGTCGAGTCTCATTCCCAGGTTGTCAGATTTTAATGACCTCGGAGCCACCTGTTGTTTTGTGTGACTCGCTCTGAGCAACTGTGGTTCCCATTTACCCTAACCCAAAGCGTCGGTATTTGACAACGTGGGAATTAGACTCACCAATCAACTCCAGAAGGGTAGGTGGGGTCAGATAAGCTGTGATGGTATGGTTGGTTCAGATTTTAATGAACACTTTGCTGGGATGAAATGAAGTGGTCTGCAAATAGGATTTTATAATAGAAAAACCCAAACATGACTTTTTCACAGTAGGGGAGCTTTAAAATGTCAACATTTGTCTTGCGAGTAATTAATATAAACACTTAATTTCTATTTTTTATTTAAACATGTCACTATTTAACGCGACAAAGTCAAACTGTTCTCATTTCACAACAAAATTATGATTATTTTCATAATTAGTCAAAAACAAATTCCTTTAAACTGGTGCTTTGTTTTCCTCCATAATCCACTGACCTCTGCAGAGTAAAAAAACTTAACACCAGGAGGTAAAGTGGGTGTCCAACCACTCATCAACATAACTGTTAAATACAGAATTAAGAGATAAACCATCCGTCTGTACCCATTTGGAAATGAACAATGACGCTTTAGAAAATACACATTACATTGTTTTAGTGAAGCTTCCCTTTAATAGGATTTGGGCATTTAATCAGTATTTTTGGCATATATGTGTGTGTTTACGTGAGAGGTGTGTGTGTGTGTGTGTCGATGTGTGTGTGAACTAATTAGGACCAGCAATTACCCCAAACTGTGGCTGTGTCTCCTGCTGAAGGGGTGGGTAACAATAGCAGACTGTCAGTGCCAACGCTGCCATGCATGACAGATGTATGTGGACACGCCAGACAAAGGCACGGCTGGCCGAGCGTGTGTGTGTGTAAAGGGTGTGTGTGTGTGTGTGTGTGTGTGTGTGTGGAGGGGGGGGGTCAGCTTGTGTCCGATGCAAAAGAAGTGGAGGAGCGCTGCTGGCGGCTCAGGCATCGTTCCACGGCACCAGCAGCTCCCAGCAGCCCCTGCTGCCTCAGCCATAACCACCACCCCAGAGCTGTCAGACTCCCAGCAGCCCCTGCTGCAGCTCCTTTGGTCCAGCCTGCTAATGGAGGGACAACTCTGTTCATTATAACATCATCTGCATAACAAGACAGTAATCTGCTACAACGTTCAAGTACTGATACCATTACAACACTGTTAGACTGCAATATAATACACTAATACTCCACACACTGTTCGACCACCTGTGATCACGTGACTGAAGTCTCCTCATCTCTGCTGCAGACTAGAGGCTACATTAACCACCAATAGCTTAACACACCCAAATCTCGGTGGTCGAGTTGCATTGTGGGTAACGTAGGCACAATGTTTTGACTAGGAAAAAGAATGTGTGGAATAAAAAAGATATTTGGTTTTGGGGCGTCGAATTTGGTCTTTTTAATTATATCCAATGTTATAATGCTGTA